CAGCTTTGGTATATAAGTATCGATTAAAAGTATTTATTTATTGTATATATTATTTAAATGAATACTACTCACGTAAACAGCAGACAATACTTAATGATAGCAATCATAATCGATCTTTTTTGTCGCCGTAAAATTTGTAACATAAGGAAGTAGTACATTACCACGACGCCAAACGCCATTAGGCAACTATTTTTATAATACATTGACACACGGTAGTGTCCGCGCGATAGATCTTGGTAGTGTGCCAGCGTCGTAACTATTTTCACCTTGGGACAATTGAGTGTCAAAGTTAAGTGTCAACGGTCATTGGGTCGGATTCATTTAATCCGCTTCAACTTATGAACTGATAGGCATAGATCTTCTGGGTCACCAGGTGTAAGACTTATGCTGCACCAAAGTGAGTTGGCGTAGTTTTCATAAAGACTGCTTGACATGCTCTCGGAGACTTGTGATGGTGACACCTCCTTCTTCCACACAGCACACTGCGGACTGAAAGTTAAAATTTCAAATAGCGAACACATATTTCGAACCTGGCACCTTGTGATCTGCAGACTTAACCTAAGATTTGTATTTATTATACTTACTTATACATTATCTATGATCGAAAAATTTAAAAAACAAGAAATATTTAATGTAAAGCGTCATATATTATCTTTGTACGTTCGCAAATCTACAAGCTAAAAGTGCTAAAAGGCTTTTCCACCCGTCGATGGTTGTTCGTGATCTGGACGAAATTTTGATATTCATACCACATACTTAATGTTCGGATTTTCTAGATGAAGTCTAGGGTGTTTCAGATAATTTGTAAATTTATTTTATAAGCATAATGGGTAGGAAACGTGCCTACGACCGGTTTATTATAAGTCATGCATTGCTACCATTGGAATATATAACTGCTAGATTATTAAAAACTATCTGTAGTTTACGCGAGTAGTAAACCGTTAAAGTGTTTTATTTAAATGCCAGATTAATATTTTCCATTGGCGAGCCCGAAAGTAGGTGATCAGTCCAATTTATCTGTTGACTATTTCGGCTATTGCCCTCCCGCCCTGCCTACACTACCTAATGGATACTTTTAATTCGCCGTTGAAGCCACCACTTGATGTTCAAGTGGTTTATATCAATGTCGAATATCCAAACTTAATTTTAATGTATGATGTTGTAGGTATGGTATTTTCTACGAAGTAAACTCCATGACTTGACTGTCGTCTGTCATAAAAAATACAATAAAGCTCAACAAAGGCTGAAACAAGCTAAACGTTAAAAGTGAAATACACACACGGCGTCCCTAAGGGCACATTCATCAATAAACCGGCCATTTTGTTTATTGCCAAGCTACAGTTTACGATACTTTTGTGGTCTATTATCACGATTGAATTGGTTTTATTTTATATTTACGTTTGTCAACTACTTAATTGTTTACTGTTTTTAACCGACTTCAAAAAACGTGGGGTTTGTCGTTTATGAGAAGTCAAAGTAAATGTCTTAACAATCTTACCACAGTATCAAATTAATAAGTACATACAATATTATCAAATATAACAAAAGAATCACAAAGCAATATAGAAATATTAAATATTTAAACGAACCCCTAAGCAGATAAGTCCCTAGAAAGTATCCTACGTTTTATTGTAGAGTTTATCGTTAAAACTCTTTCAGAAAGCTCAGTGCATTGAAAGAAAACTACGACTCCATCTACTAGTAGGTCTTCTCGTTTCGGGATATAAATAAAAATTACCAGCCACATCGCTACATCCATACATTGTAGATACATACACAACTACATCTGTATAAATACTGTGTATAGTTTACGCGAGTAGTACACATTTAAATAAAACACTTTAACGGTTTAAAATGCGATATATTAGTTAAACTTGTTTGAAAATTATTTTTAACTACGACGTTTCGGATGCTTTGCAGCAGTCGCGGTCACGGGGAGACACCCTGTCTCCCCGTGACGTTAAAAATCATTTTCAAATAAGTTTAACTAATATATCGCGTTTTAAACCGTTAAAGAGTTTTATTTAAATACATCTGTATAACTAAGTCAGTACATAGAATGGAGTGGAAAACCAACTATTGTAATTGGTATAACCCAATTATGCTGAGGCAATTTATTTGTACCAGCCCTGTACGCACTTCGGGAATGTCAAGTACCATTATTTGCAGCGAATACCACTCTACGAGTGCGTCGTTATTTTCTATGTATATTTACGATATGAGCATTAATAATAAATTATTTGTTATAATAACTGGGAGTATCAAACTATCTACAGATTCAACACTTCAAGTTACGCTATTTATTGATCAATCGTTTAGTATGTACCTCTTTGGTGTTACTCTAGTCGTGAGTCTCTGAAACGATCAGGTACGATAGATCTTTGTCAGTTTTAAAAACAATTGAACGAACTGAAACACACCCATTTCAGTAATCAAAATTTCCTGAGTCAAGAAGTACAGTTCCAAGATGGAGAAACGTGAGGTGATAAATCTGCAAATTAAAGTAAATATTTGCATTTCAGTTTCAGCCCGTGGATTTTCAGTAAATAGGTCGACAGCATATCATGCTTCTATAACATATAGCTTAAGGTGTATTTCACCTTCTATTAAATCTTTCTTAAAGAAAACTAGTTTCGTGGGCGCAATTTCATTTTAAACCGTAAAAATAATTAAAGTAAAGAAATTTACGAAGTCCAGTCATTTTTACGAAGACTATGCCTTCTTTTTAAAAAGCATACAACATAATCTGACGTGTATTACGATATGTCCAAATATTTTTACTGGAAAAACTTTCGGCCAAAGAAATGACATCGATTTGACTCTAATCTTACCTTTTCGGAAGAGAAGCAGCCGAGGATCCCTATTCCCAAATTAATTTTAAGAGTTCTATTTTCGATTGTTCGATATTTAGGCAAAAATATTTATCGATTGAAGAAAGTACTAAACTGGTATGTGGACATACAAAATGACAATGTCAACATTTATTTTTATAATTGCAAATAGCTACAGAATAGAGACAGATTTATCTACTTATATCTTTATTTTTTATTTTTCAAGTCATAGGTTTTAATATTTATAGTTTAAGTACTTTACACGTAAGTCTTGTAACGTTAAATAATTAAGATACAGCTGTCAGTCCAATTTATTTCAAAACATTTATTTTAAAAATAATGTAGAAAGTAAGAATAATTACGATAAAAACGATTTAAATAAAACACTTTAACGGTTTTAAACGTGATATATTAGTTAAACTTATTTGAAACGTCGGGCCGAAGTGAAAAATCATTTTTAAATAAGTTTAACTAATATATCGCGTTTTAAACAATTAAAGTGTTTTATTTGAATGTGTACTACTCGCGTAAACTATATACAGTCTTTAAATGATTTAAGTTTTTTATACGTATAGTATGTGTGTCTGTAATAAATTTAATCTAAGTATGTATTAATAAAATATCATCGAATTAAGAATCGACCACTTAAAATTCACACTAAGTTGTACTTCCTTGAGCTAAGCTTCGAATAACATTTGACTTCTCTAAAGTTTTTATTGCTTGTTCTCATTTAAATTCAGCAATAAATAAGTTTTGTTTAAGATATCCCCGCCTTTTTATAGTAAGAAAGCAATTTACTTTTACCTAGTACTTGTATATATTTAGGGACAGCACTGCAGTATATTCCTTGTAATTATTTCATATTAATTTAAACACTTTAGTTAAATCATTTTAAAAGGTATGTACTTTTTAGATCTTGTATTACTCGCATCCTAATTTTATTATTGTTGGTGTTATTATTATATATCGAGAGTGTTACACATCTAAATCAAACACTTTTATTGAATCATAATACGACATGCATTAGTCAACTTACTTTTAATATATTTTAGATAACTTTCGAGTTCAATTGGTAACACGTTAGTTGAGTTATCTTCTCAGTAGAGCGCTTGCGATAAATCTTTTATTCGTCACGTTGATTGAAAAGCCTCGATTTATGATTCGCCCAATAAAGGTGGGTTGGTGGATAGCTATCTGTCAGTTTCATTTGTCTAAGGGCGAGGATAACAATCTTCTTTAATATAACTTCAAATCGAGAATATTTTTTTTCAGCGTGGACGTAATATGACTTTTTATGGAAACTAAAGATAAAGAGTGGAGCTTTTTAATAAAAAAGTGTACCTTAGCAAATTTAGTATCTATACTATAAACGCTATCATTATATTTTGATCTGTGAAAAGTAAAAAATACTCATTTTTAGAAAATAAATACTTCCTAAACTTTCATTTCATGAATTCTGAGGTATTTCTATATGGGCAACACTGCGAAAATGTGAATATGATTTCTGAAAGCATGTAATAATAAATAATTCCGCCGAAGCCTCATTCATATGAGACGGTATTTACATAATATCATCTAATATCGCATAGTGAAACAAAGGAAGTGCTTCTGTGTTACATTTACTTAGAATATTGTACTTTTCTACGCCAATCATTGTATTGTTAATATAAATCTTTTCTTTCTATAATTTACTTCAATTGAGATTTGAGATGAATTAAGAAAGAGAAAAAATTTAAATAAAACACTTTAACGTTTTAAAACGCAATGTCAAACTTTTTTGAAAATGATTTTAAATTTATATCGCGTTTTAAACCGTTAAAGTGTTTCATTTAAATGTGTACTTCTTGCGTAAACTACAGTGAGTATTTAAGACTTATATTTACTATATGTGCACCATCCAGCTTAGAATGTATATAAACACCGTACCTCAAAGCGATACTTAGTAATTGTCTGTTTTTGAACTTTCATGTTAGCGTCATTTTTGATATTGCGTGTTTATTTTACATGTTTTTGGTTATAACAACCGTACCGATTTTATTAAATTGCTTTGGTATGTACCTCGTATTATTTCGAGTATTTTGTGAAAAAACGAGACACGAATGCAAAACATAAACTTTTCTATGTAATGCAGTGCAGCAGCTTTTCAAAAATATGTTTTATTGTTCACAGAGGAGGAGGGGACAGAGCTGGAGTTAGAAGCGCTGTACAGAAGATATTGCGTCAGATTGAAGCACGCATTGTTCGTGTCAGCTCTGTGCGTCACATTGCTCTGTACATTAGTGCTTTTGTGTGCTGTGTGCGTTCTACATTCACAGGTACATATTGTTTAATGTTACAACGTAATACATGTACAGATGTGTGGGTTTGTATCCTTAAGTAAAATTAATTACTAAGACCTATATTTTCAAAACGCAAACAAGATGATGACAGATCGCTCCTTACAAAACACATTCACGTTACTAGATAGATACTGTACTTAGAGTAATTTGTTTTTTTTACATTTATTAATCTCCTTAAACTTTATCTAGTAGACTAGCGGCCCGTCCCATCTTCGCACGGGCAGACATATATAGGTATACAGATATTTAAATTATAAGCATGCTAATTAAAATGACCATTGTTTTAAAAAAATACGAAATATTTAATGTCGCTTACGTCCACTGCGTAAGGAGCCCACTCCCTTCTCTCGTCGAGTTAGTTACTCGATGCGCTGCGCGTCGGCCGCCGCCGGCATGTACTTTTATTTTAATTTCATGATATCTTTTGAATGAAATGTCCGATTTAATAATTAAAAAAGTAATTATCTGATATTGAGACAGTCTTGAATATTAATTTATTTAAATAAAGATTCATAAATGGCATGGATAACACAGTCTGATTTTTATTGGCATTTCTATCAATATGTTAAATGAAAAAAGTAGTTATAGTGACGTAACTACAATAGTTAGACATATTATGGTCTCGCGAATTTTTTTGTAGATGTTGATGAAAGATATTTTATGGCTAATTTTTTTACACCTCCCATTGGTTTGAATAGGAATTTCTATAGATTTCTATATTAATCTAGTACTAAATATAGCTTATGTTACTCAGTGATGATGTAGCTTTCTAATAAAATAATTTTTAAAATCGGTCCAGTACTTTCCGAGTTTATTCGTTAAATACAAAAATAAATCTTTCCTCTTTATAATATTAATGTAAATGATAAAGTAATTTTCGTAAACATTATGTAGCAGTCTACGTAAGCTCGTAGCGTAGGTGCTACAGCTCTACGAAAGCTACATCACTGTTGTTTACGGAATTAATTACGGATTATTACAAAGAGCTGTGTGTCTATCATACTTTTTGGTAAATAAAAACAACACAATGCTACAAAAAAAGTATGAAAATACGTGGTTATTGGATCTGACAGGTTAAAAGGCTTTCATGCTAGATACGCTATGTCATGTCAAGGTGATACGAAATGGAACAAAAGAAATTATTGATAAAATCATTTCAACCAAACACATTGTTCTGGCATTATTTTCATTTCAGGCAATGTTATATATGCGAATTAATTTTCACCGTCTATTTTTGCCAATTTTAGGATTATTCGAACTCAGAAAACGCCTAAAATGTTTAATATAACGGAATTCGCTCAGGTGCCTCAATACTAAAAATTACACTTACCAAACTAAGCACCAATTCTTCACTTAAGAGTGTGTATGTGTTATTTGTTGTTACATTATATATATATATTCATGTTTATGTGTACTTAATATAAGTTATATTAGTATCGGTAACTTAGAACTGTGAACTTAGTAGACTTGTTGGGCAACTTCTTATCTCAAACTATGTACATTACAAATTAAATGTATATAAATTAGGTAAATCTATACTAATATATAAAGTTGAAGAGTTTGTTTGGTTGTACGCGCTAATCTTAGGAACTACAGGTTCGAATTGAATAATACTTTTTGTGTTAGTTAGAGCATTTATAGATGAAGGTTATAAAATATTAGGCTCGGCATCGAGCCGTGACTAATCGAAAAACTAAAGAATCGAAGATACAGTGGGAAAGGTGAATAAAATGGGGGAAATTTCTCGTCTCTGTGGGTTTCTGATGCGTACGCTGCGAAAACGGTTCAAGATACCCAAAAAATATGTATAGAGAAATAATTCCTCTTTAAATAATCTGAAAAAGTTCAGGACACTATATATCTATCTCTTAAGATTAACTTGCAAGAACGACGGGACGCGAACGACGAGTCGCGAGCGACGGGACGCGGCCGATGTTGTGGGCAGCCTAAATTTATAAAGATGTAGAGGTTAACAAAAATAAATTTGTGTGCCCAAAACAACTATTCTACGTGAACGAAGTCGCTGACGCAGCTAACTAGAAGAAGAAATGTAATTATTATATCTATACCTAACTAGTAAGTAATAATTACTTTTCTTTAAAATAAAAATCTTATTCTGATCATCAAGATCCATCAAGACCCAAGATCTTCACTAAAGCTAACTTAGTTTATAGTAGCGATCGATAATAATGAGCAAAGCGCGCCCATGTTAACGTGGTTTAATTCAGTCTTGTACATAAAGCCATTATCTGGGGTGTAGCTAATATGGGATCAAATTGCATTACTAACACGAGGATCCAATTATGCACCTGCACTGAGCCTATATCTTCTACTCATTTATTTATATGTAGTCTCCCTTATAAATTTGTGTTAGCTACACTATTTATAACACGAGAATGGCTGAACCGATTTAAATAAACTTTGTTGGTTAGCGTAGGCTAGAAGAGGAATTTCTTTTCCTTTTTGACTTTAACAATGTCAAAGAGAATATAAGCCACTATAAAACGTTGTAAAACAGAAACACATCTGACATGTAATCACAAAACACAAATGGCAGCTACAAGTTATTGACGTGACAACGTCTTATAATTCGATAGAGCCGGCTGCACGCACGAAAAAACATGACTCATGCGGCGTTACCTCGCTCTGAGGTGTTCCATGTAAGGCTTGAAGTGCAAGCGAGAGCGCGGAACGAGCGACAAAGAAGCACAATCGGCCTTTGCGTTCGGCAGCGTTCGACATCCGTCTCTTTCCTACTTGAGTGGAGAAAAAAATAAACGTAGAAATAATAATTGTATTTATTCGTACAAATAAATCTAACTTGATCAATTTCATTGTGATTTCCAATTACCTCCTTCTCTATATATACAAATCTATTAAACAAATGAAATAAACATTTTCTTTTGAAAAATGTTACCATTCCATCAGTATTTTCTTAAGACGTTGTCACATTCAACTATCTTCAGTAAACCGACTTTACAGACAACCAATTTTTTATATACTTTTTTAATTGTAACATCTAATAATAAAAAAAGGTTGTGGAAAAAAGTCTGTTAAGTCTTGTAGAAACATAATAATATACGCACAGTTATTGTTCACTTGCCACTAACTTCAAAATTATAATATAAAAGTATTTATTCAATCATTTCTATTCCACTAAATCAAATTAAGTACTTCGTGCGTCGTAACTATATTTTCTTATTTTTAGTTTACTGTTTGTAGTTGATAATATTTTGTTAAAATTTGTTACAAATAAATACATTAGCTATTTAGCTACATTGAGTTGTTCCAAAAATGTACTGATGTACACATATAATACTTTTTTTATGATAGAGGAGTCAGACAAGCATGACGTTCACTCGATGGGAGGAAATACCGCAGCCATATAGCATCTCAACAGATGCGCTGTCGAAATATTTTGCCTTCGAAATTCGGAAATCCACAGGCTCAAAGCGAAGTGTGATTAAAACTTCACGGCATGTTTATCTGTCGACGGTTGTTCGTGACCACGGTATTTTCGATATTTCTACCACCCATTTAATATCCAGATTTCCAGACGAAGACCAACATGCTTAGAAAGCATTTTGTACGCGGCGGGGATCGAACTCCCGACCCGTCGATTATTCTATTGCTACCATTAGACCAACGAGCCCGTAATTATTCATTCAAATACAAAGTACGTTATTTTTGTTGTTCCCCTCCCCATCGCGCAACACATGATTCTTTTATTTCTTACTAATTGTTAGTTTGGATGCTAATGATTTATACATCTTTTATTTGATTTGACATAAGAATACCTGTAATATAATATATTAACTTAAAATTTTGTATTGTATTTGTTTGTGCAATAAAGTGTTTTATTATTATTATTATTATTAACAAGTGATGTATTTTTTGTTGATGTAGCTCTAAGCCTACATAACACGTTTGGTTGTTTCAAGGATTCATTGTTTGATTATTTTCGTAGAATTACTGGACATTTATTTAAAGGCTTATCAAATGGACACATATATACATTACGCCAGTTAGTCACGTTGTTTATACAAAAACATATCAAATTTCGGAGCACGTTTCTAAAAATATTTTAATCTCCTTTGTTCTACTCACAATAAATTCCAACGTCTACCTCCATTTGAACCACAGACAGTTGCACCTTTAATGTTATAATAAATCTTAAATTGCTTCACCCTGGCGAGAATTCCTCTCCAGAATAACATTGAAATATTACCGTATTTCGAGCGAATAGGGCAGAGTTTTGCTTGTTGAAATTAATTGCAATTCGAGCTTCAAATGCGGAGGTTCTTACTTATTAGTGCTGGATTGTCGCTTGGGACCAAGTGAAGGTTGAGGGTTTTGAATTAAATAGATTATCTTTTATAGCTGTATAGCTTAGGGCGAAAATTGCGTGGAACTTTCGGTAATAAATAACATTTGTTGTCAGGATTGAAACTAAGCTTAAAGTCTAAGGTCTCGCGATCAAATTTCAGTCAAAAAATTCTATTATTTTGCTAAATGTGTGTGGGAATTATTTATCTATAAATTTAACTAAAAACATAATAAAGCTTGGGTGTACTTCCGAAAAGCGCATACCGCCGATCGATCTGAAATTTGGTATACTTATGTATTTTGACCTCCTAATCACGAATACCATAACGAAAATTGGCGCAAACGCCGTTTTGAATATGTAAATCGAAAAAAACCTCTTTACGTTCACGCATTTCTAACCAATGTAGACTATTTGAGCTTTTCCCGAAAAGGGTGTGTGTATGTGTTTGTGTGTGTGTAACCATTTTTTACCCATAGTGATCCAAGTTCGTCAAAGCGTTGGAGGTTGCATGGCCGAAAAGCGCAGACTATTCGCGTTATCTACAATGCACCACGTGGAGGTTGTCTGTCTAGCACTCCTGGCCCTGATAAGGGCCGTTTTGTGTGTGTGTGTGTGTGTGTGAGTGTGATTTTCATTGATTCACCAATAACCTAAACGTTGCACATGTCCGCTATACAATTTCAACTTTGTGGTGATTTTCCACTGTGGTACATGAATGTGGTCCGCTATAGTAGTTGCATTTTCCATTTACTTTCGGCTGTCAGATACAAACTGCGTATATTTTTCTTTATATTAGTCGAAGTCCGAGAATGTTTTTTACTGTAATAGTCGGCCTATGGAAATATTTGCCGCTTTTGTCGATAGACTTGAGATCTATTCCCGCTATAGTAGCCTAATTCTCGAGTGGTTTTTTGTTCTCCTAATCGACCTGGGAATATTTCCCGCTGTAGTAATTCCATTTCGTGAAAATTTTTTGATTAGGCACACTGAACGAAAAGAGGTTTTTTTCATATTCAAAATGGCGTTTGCGCCAATTTTCATTATGATATTCGTGATTAGGAGGTCAAAATACATAAGTATACCAAATTTCAGATCGATCGGCGGTATGCGCTTTTCGGAAGTTTATCCTAAAGCTTAAAATAAAATCAACTCAATATAAACTTATGAGACAATTATGTGCTTAAAATTAAAGATATGCATGCATACACAAAATTTGTTTTAAATATTTGAAAGTGCACTTTAAATGTTTAATTGAATAAAAATATTATGAACAGACATAATCCTTTATGTTTCTTTATATCTGGCTTTTGAAATGCAATTTAAAGAAAACATAATTTTAATTGTCTTTTATAAAAATATTGTTAAATAATTCATAATCTGCAGTATCGGTGCATTAAGACTATGATTATTATTACTTGGCTTTATTAAAGAGGGGATAAGACCACATTTAAAAGGAGGGGCATGGATATCTTAGATAGAAGTAATTACTACACAGAAGTGGATTAAACTGAACTGATATTAAATGAAACTGATGTAAAAAGAATGATGGATCCTTAACTAATTTATCAGAATTAAGTTTGTGACATCAAAGCTTTAATAAAATTCGCTTAATGAAGTCGTTATCAAAAATGTACAGTTTTATTTCTACTCGACGAAGTCTTGTCCTGTCTTGCTTCATGTTATATGTCCTAACTTATTTAAATTCTAATAATATTACATACATTTCACATAGTAACTGCAGTTGATAAAGAATATTTATCCAAAACAATACATTAATAAATTGTTAATAGTGAACATAAAGACCGTGCAAGTGTATTTTATGTAACATGCCCAGGAGACGAGGTGGACGCGTCCTAATGATTTTAGTATAAACGACAAAGGTTCAAACGGACGGCTCTAGGGCATTTAGTCATCAAATAGTCCCAAACGGAAATTACACTTTATCTATTCCGTTGTTGAGCTCTGTGAAGCCCCTTGGCTTCTCTAATTCCGTATTTTATGCTATTTCTCACAATTATTTCTATGTTTCATCTCTATCGAAATACCTTTTCTTACCATTAAATAAACAAATAATAGTAATAATATTTCATGTGCGGTTTCATATTTTAAAATGAAAGTTATGAAATATAATTTTAAAATAGAGAAGCAAAGGTTTTACTCGATGGAGGGTAAAAATACCTTCGATTCCTACCGCACTTTTAATTATAAGATTTCAACTACGACATTTTCCTGCTATGACTTATCAAAATAGATAGACTGATTTCCGAATTCATACATTAAAATACCAATGGTGACGTGTCATAACCCGCGCTAGAGATAAAGCAAGCCTCAAGTCATGATAGACAAATTAAATTCAACCCTTCACACTGATTCCGAGCTCAACCACACAAAATTAATATTAACGATTAGAGTATGCAAATTTGCAAGCAAAACGCACTTACTTTGCATGCGAAAGGTCTTAGGGTCCGTATTTGCAATTTAATTATTCTCTTTGTAACGTTTTGAGGAAAATAACCGTTTTTATAGCGTTTACTGTTTCTATAAACATCGTGAAATTAAACAATTTTGTAGAAGTCAAACGTGTTTTTAGCGTATAAAGCTTCGTGATTATAGAAATTATTATTTCTTTCAGTACTTAAATGTTGTGTTATTGATGAAAGGTTATGTTCTACAAATAATACAATGGGATAACATTTTCAGTGCATAAACAACATTGCTATTCGTTTTACTGTTTACTCTGATTTACAGACAATAAGAAGAGAGAATGTTGTACTTGGCCTAAATAAAATTTAGTCTTTTTTAATTCTTGAACCCAGGATTTCTCATATTATAGCAACACATTAATCAGCCGGTCGTGGGTTCGAACCCCAACGGGTTCATGATTTTTTTAATCAATGTATATTCAGGTCCTTTGTTGACCTGAAACTGATTTCCAGTACGTCCTTACAGTGTGAATAACTGTGCCACACGCAAGTAAAGATTTAAAAAATCCTTGTTGGAAAAATAAAAAAAATAGTGAACTCTACAGAAAAAATGTCCAGCATAAATAAATATTTTGTTCCATTCCATCTACATAAATAAGTTTCCACCGCCAGCGCTATCAACGTCAGATCACGAACCAAATTCGATCGATGTCACTAAAACTATATTTGTTCCAGGATTTATCAGCGCAAGTGATAGCGATATCAGCGCTATCAGTGATCATCTTCATACTATTGTCAGTGCTGGCATTAGCGCTGTTGCCAGCGGCGGCTGAATGGGAGGCTTTTGCGCTGACCGGGTCAGTCCTGGTAACAGTGAGTCTTGGAGCTGGTACTCTGATGGCCACTCATCATGCTCCATTGCCGCTCTTTGCACTTATATTGGTGAGTTTACGAAACCCCTTTTTCTAATGCTGGAGTAGTTTATGCTCAAAAATAAACCATTCAAAGAAACACCGAATTGCACGTAAATATTCGATAATGATATCGTTACGACTGCGACCATTCATACGTTTGATAAAATATAATCCCCTTATTAATTTCCCATTGAAATTTCATTAAATTGAACTGAAAGCGATCGTAGCAAAGAAATGCAAGTGGCTTTCAACAATTAAATTTAATTTAGTGCACTGAAAGAATCAATCATTTGCTTCGAGCTTTGTCGAGTTGAGCTTGAATTATTAAAGCGAGTTAAAACTGTGCCTTCACTTTTTTACCGGTTTAGCGCGATTTGCCTTTGAAATGGAAGTTGTATTAACTATTTTATATGTTACTTCATAGCTTAGAAGATTTATAACTGAGAGTATGATTATTTTGAATAGCGTACTTTACGCGAGTAGAGAGCATTTGGATAAAAAACTTTTTAACGATTTAAAACGCGAAAATTACTAGTTAACTTATTCTTAATTTATTTCAACTACGGCCCGACGCGGACGTTTCTAATGCTTTTCAGTAAATGTGGTTAAGGGGGGATTGAAGTTGTACGGTGTCCCTAATATTAAAGTAAAATGTGCTACGCTAGCGCCATCTCATAGTTTTTTTGTTTCTGTCTTTTATAGTTTTTTCTTTTAATGGGCTTGATTTCTTGAAATTATTTTGAGGTGTTTATAGTCTGAATGTGTGTGACCCTTCAAGTCAAAGAAAAATTACTACCCATTCAATTAATATTTTTTCTTCAAAGCAATGTGTAAAACTGTATAATAAAAAAACAATACCAACATCTAAGAGTCATCGTTATTCAGCAATAATAAATGCCCAACGTTTTTTGGTCGTCAAGAACAGATTATTAGAACAAAAGTATTTTTGGCCAAAATTATTCAAGAAATTTCGCCCACGAGCTTCGCTGACTTCGCATAATTAGATAGAATTTGCATACTTTATCACGCTATGTTAACGACTTGTAAGCTTGGGAACACAGTTTTCATACAATTTGCAGGCTAATTCGTCGACAAACGACATATAAGAAACTTATGTGTGTCCATGACTCGCTCTTCGTGGAATAGTTATTTGGGTATTATGTTATTTTTTCTTGCAAACAACCTCCTCAGCTTACTAAATTATGCCTAATACCTACAACGTCGCCCGCGTCGCGTCGTTCTTGCGAGGTAACTTTAAAAGCTCCCAAAGATGAATAAGATACTCCACTTTTTCCACATTTCCCTCTGTGGCTTTGCTCCTATCCATTGCAATCTGATGTTTTATAGCTTAAAGCCTTCGTCGATAACTGTATTTTCTATTTGAACCAGTAGTTCCTAAGATTACCACGCTCCAACAAACAAACTCTTCAGCTTTATAGTATTACTACAGATAGTGTATGTACTGTACTGAATTTGTGTGGTATAAAAAAGTGACATAATGTAAATAAACGAGCCAAGTGCGAGCTAGATTCTTGCTCTAAGAGCTCCATCCATCCGATTGGGGGTTCGGGGGTTCGATCCACCAGGTGCACATGTTTTAAATCGATTTATAATCCTTCTGAAACATGTTGAAATGGAAATCTGGATATCAAATTGTTGGTAGGTAAGCCATGATGTTTAATCGTGTTTCGATTTTCAGCTTTCGTTCTCCGAATTACCAACCCAAAATACGACGACAACGGATCTGTTTAAGATGTTATATGACTGGTATCTTTCACCTTCCATCAAATGAAGCTCTTGCTTGTCTGTTCTCCTCTATTACTAAAAACAAAGAAAAAATAGAGGCTACTCAATAAATCGTTAGATACGAGTATTAGCTAACAAAAAGCAGTATCGCAGTACCTTCACAAAATCGGTCCACAAAGATACATACGATAAGGCACGTTGGCACGTAAATTGGTCGCGAAAATGCCAGACCAATTGAATTGAATTCAATTAAACCGGACAGACATCACAGGTCGCAATCAACGTTCAAAATGCAATTTATTGAACGGAATAGAAAGAAAAGGAGCAGGATGAGAATTCAACTTCATATGTTTGTGGAGCTCGACGTTTGCTGGCAATTAACGAGAACAATACGTCGGGTGTAAGTGGAACGTGCTTATTTGTTAAAGTTTAGTAAAATTAAAACTTTAAGGGTTTAAAACGCGAAATATATTAATCTACTATTTGTGAAAACGGTGTTTCCATTACGGTTCGGGGAACGGTTGTAGAGTGGAATATGCTAACTACTAGACCAATAAGGCATCCGTATAATCTATGCTCTATACTAATATACTCGTATAAAGCTGAAGAGTTTGTTTGTTTGAACGGGCTAATCTCAGAAACTACTGATGGGAATTGAAAATTTCTGCGCGCTGTGACTAATATCCTATTAGAAGAAACATCGGGAAATGTGGCGAAAATTAATCATCTTTGTGGGTTTCCGTTGCGTATGCTGAAAAATGATTCAAGATAATAATATGTATGAAAGAATAATTCTTTAAATAATCCAAATAAATATGCGTGACATTATAATATATCTTAAAGGATTTTAAGAGAACTCGCAATGACAACAGGACACGACTGACGTGGATAACAGGTATAATTTATGAAGATAAGGAAGTTTGCAAAAACACATTTTGACGACAAAAATAACTATTCTACGCGGACGTAGTCATTGGCACAGCTAGTTTTAGATATATAACATCAAATATAGATGATATTTCATAACTATTATTTATGATGGCACCATATAAATTAAAACATTTGACATTGTAAAAATTATCACACGGGAGTTGAACCGGCTTCCATACGATCCTTGGAAGTAGCTGCAAGACAGCTTAATTCAAGGAACCGAGATAGGATAAATGATAATTTTTTACCTTGTTTCAGATGGTGCATACAATGATGCCCATAGCTCGATCCATAGCTTTAGTCATGGCGACAGCGCTTACCCTGGCTTATATGGGTCTAGCGATAGGCCTGGGCCCTCAAGGGCAGGAAGACCAGTTCTATCAGCAGGTATTTCTATTTTAACTAAAGTAATTAAGCGTTTAGTTACTTTAGTTACAATACATTATATATGCAATCAAAAGTGTTACCGGAGAATCGTTGCCAATTCTGGCGCCGCTGATGCTGAAGACAAGGTTATATATAGCCAGCTTCTCGCCTTGTAAGCAATTATTTTCCTGAAAAAATCTTAGTTAGATTTTTTTTAAAGCATGGAAGCTTAAAAAAAATCTAACTAAGATTTTTTTAAGCTTCTATCCTATTAGAGTCCATTTAGACTGAAAACCAAAACCTTGGGAGAAAACTTCGCAAGCTTTTATTTTTAGTGAAAATATCCTGCTTTATGGGTTTCTTGAAGAAAAAATCCTTCCGATTCTTAGCTATTTGGGCTTTGGCTATTTGGAACCAAAGTTGAATTAACAAGAAACACTTAACTGTTTAAAACATGAATTTTATTGAAACGTAGATTTTTCCCAGAATGGTACACGAACCAATTAATTCAAGTAACACCCAACTATAAACAATTAATATTTAAATTTCTCAACAAAAGCAATTTTTGTTTTTCTGATATTCGAACCGGCTTAACTCAATGCTAGGTATAGCATATTCATCGGTGGAGCAGAAGATTAAAAAGAAATAAAGCTATATTTTATTTGCCAATAACAAGCTAGCAATAATAAAAAATTCTTGTAGAACCTTCAATAACTTATACATTATTACATTTCTGTTAGTGTAAATAGAATAGCGTTTTAACAAGCTCCTAGCAGTTGAAAGCAATCAGACAGCGTGCGACTTTGCTGTTATTTAATTCGCAGGATGCTTTTATATAAGCGTGGATGAACTTTCAGAAAATAATAAATACGTACTATTTTGAAATGAAATAATATAAAAAGTTTTATTTACAAGCATAACAAGATTTACTATAACAAATATCATTATTATAATAAAACACATTAACGGTTTCAAACGCGATATATTATGTAAGTTAAACATATTTAGTTAATATTTCGCGTTGTAACCGTTTACTTATTTTATTTAAATTTGTTTATTTCTTGTTCAAACTACAGATAGTATTAGGCATATTTTTTATGAGTTTAAGTAAATAAAGGTAAAATATATAATTTCATAAATTATTTAAAACATATTCTGGGCGCCGTAAAATATAATAATGGAAAAAATACCTATGCCTTGTTGCACCTTCTTGTAATTTAGTACCTTTTATTCACGTATTTTGTGTAGTTTACGCGAGCAGTACACATCTATAATATTAAAAATTAATAAATGCTTTTAAGGGTTTATAGGTGATGCGATTTAAACTTGAAATAGAATTAACTAATAAATTTTGTGTTTTAAATCTTAGAAAATGTTTTGTTTAAATACATATTCTTATTTATTCATTTATTATGGGAAGGAATTTCAATTCAATTATAAATCTAAGTTAGAAACCCGAAAAAAATGTTTTAGTATATAATAGTATTATTTAATGTTGTTTGTTTTTTTTAGGCAAAGGTACAGAAACAGTCAGTATTACTAATAAACTAAATTAATATTTTTGTGTTTTTGTTAAAGAATTAAGTGTTTATTTGTCATATTTTATTTCCTAAAGTTAATTTTATTCATAAAATATTGACCACTTTCTTGACATAAAACCTCTTTGCTAATATTTTTAAAAGTATCGTTCATTTTTAGACGGAGTATCTTCAAACTTTATTTAAAAAACACGTGCCTTACGATATTGAAATTGGTGTAATTACAACCACTTTACGAGCAAATATGTTATAAATATAATAATATAGATGTGTTTAAAGAACTACTCGGCTACCTTGAAATCTTTTCTCTCTCTAATTTTAGAAATAACTTAGGCCAACTTACTTTTAGTATCTGGTAAAATGTCGGTGGTTATAGATTGTTTTCATAGATATGTGCTTCTACTTTACAGCTGATCTGCGAACTGGCACTCCTAATGTCAGCCAGCGGCATCGGTCTGTACTACCGGGCGCTTACAGAAAGAGCTCATCGGGACACCTTCGCTGGTACCAGAACTTGCTTGGAGCAGCGGGTGAAGCTGGAGTGTGAACGAGAGCAACAAGAGAGTCTATTGCTCTCTGTCATACCTGCTTACATTGCTGCAGAGGTAAGTAACCTTTGACAATAATTAATAGGTATTAGTAATTCTTTGACGGGCGCGTAAACCCTTTGTATGTTAAAATTTTTTTTAGTAAAGTTCTATACACGTAATAAGGATAAAATAAGTGTAACAATCAGAAGGCTACATTAAGCAAGTAATTATTTTAAAGGTAATTATGTAGTGCAAAATACTGTCAATAAATAAGTTTAAATCGTAAGTAAAAAAACTACTAATAACCGAAAAAAAATAATAATAGCCGAAAGCCTAATAGCTCAAATAAAAATTCATCAACATTCTAAGATATAATAAAACCATTGGAAAATTTACGGAAGCTTTGCCCGATAAATAGTAAATTTCAAAGGAAAAGAAACAGGAATTATTAAAAAATAGTATTTATAAATTGAAAGTAAGTTGCTTTGGATTTTGCGACACGGTTACTGCAAATTATCCGAAACGCTACTGGATAGTAGTAAAAAGGTAAAGGTTTCGGGTTTTAAATGTTATTAAAATTCTCTTTATTTTTTAAATGTACTTTGTAACTACCGTTTTGGTTCCTTTTATCATTGAAATTAAATAAAAATCTTGTACGAATAAAATAAATTATTAAAAGTAACTTGGTCCACGATTTATACAGATATTCTTACGTCCTTTGTTTAAGGATGCCGCAAAGAAACTTGAAAATGATGTTAAAAGTGAAAGAATTTAAAACCTCTTTGTTTAGTGGTAAAAGCGGTAATTGTTCTTGCATTTCTACTTTGTTTCGCTGACTTCTTGTCTCAAAGGATGTAAAAGAACTTAATTAGTTTAACGTCATTTTCTTTAACGTACAGAGCTCTTTAGCTTTTCTGGTCCATTTTGAAGGCTCAATAATATTACTGCGTAGTATCTGAAACGTCGGTTATCATATTACTAGTAAGAAATATTGAATGAGCAATGTTCAGTTGGAATGTGTTGTTAGCCAAACAATTATGGGATTACATTAATATTCCATACTTAATTAGAAAACTATACAAATATATAATATAGAGCCACAAAAAGTACAAAAATGTTAGGTAATAAATAAAAAAAAATAGTTATTAACAAACACTAGTTCTTCGACATTCATTTCCGGCCATTTTAAATCCTATTCATGTACCTATTCAGTACACTATGCTGTGTGTGTACTGTTAGACATACACACACAAAATGTTTTTAACAGTTTAAAACGCAAAAGATTAATTGATTATTAATTGTACCTACAGTGTATTTTATTTAACTACGCTCCGACGTTGATGTTTTGGATCCTTTGCAGCAGCAGTGATCACGGAGGCTACCGTGACATTTAATTGTATACTATATATCATTGTTTTGATTGAATTAATATTCTTCGAGCAATCGGGAAACTAACATCTCCTGATGATGGTGACCTCCTGATGAGCCCGAAAAACATAAATATACTGAACGATGACTGTGAAAGCCTAGCACAATTTATTAAATGTCTACTACTCGCGTAAACTACAGACAATACCACACCTAGTATTTTAATTATATTAGGTAAGCGTAAATCCTTTGTTCAACGTATGTTTAAATACTAGTGCGTAATAGCATCTTCGTAAAAGCAAACTTTCTCTGCGCAACGGACCGTCGTCTGAAAAAACACCGTTTATCAGCGTCCCACTGAGCTCATTGGCTGAACAAACATTTCGATGATAATTCTTCACTCACGAATCTCCTTTGTGTGTCATTCGGTCTATATGCATGGCGTTCTTTATACGTTTAATTAAGAATAGAAATTACGTTTCTGGGAAGAATTTTTCGTATCGCTAAACAATTTGCATTCAAATTGTTTAGTGATACGAAAAATTCTTCTATTTGACCAATACTAAACAAAATAATATCTTACCTAATCATACCTATTTAATAACCAAACGTCATTCCTATAAATTTAGTGGTTTGAACTGAAAAAATATTTTTGTGTTGGAAAGACCTGATCATTTCTCGGGAAAGACTTTAAGCTATTGCTATAAGACATTGAAAAACGTGGAAAAACCGCAAAAAATAATTTGTCTTTGAAGCCCTTTTTTGCGCTGTAAGAAAAAAATATATAATAAAAAACCATAAAATGTGTATGAAATAATTATTTACTTTAAGTAATCCTAAAAAATTTAATTCTTGTATGATTAACTTGCATGAACCATATTAATGGTATAATTATCTAATACAATTAGAACCTCTTACGCCAATTACATTAATTGAACTAAAAAATAATTATTGTAAAATGACTAATTATTTTAATTAAATCGGGTTGAAATTAATGCCTTATTACCGATTATAACATAGTAGTATTAATCTAGTAAACAATAAACCGACATACATTATTAAAACCTAACATCTAAGTTTTGTTATTTAGCCGTAACATTTTGGTAAACCCAGCAATATAGGATATTAGATATTATCAAACTGTTCGCACATCTGAACAGCCTTTAATAAGTTTCTAAGCCAACAGCTTAGCGTGGTCTAGTTATAATCAATGCATGCTCCAGCTAACTTCAATAAACGTATTGAATTTCACCCACAAGTACAAAGCCATGCGAACAGCTACCAAACCTATTGTAGTAGAACTTTGTCATAGACAAAATAATATCTTTCGATAAACTCGGACAATGCAACAGACGCAAAAGTATATCTCTCCGTAAATATTATTTAAACTATTATAACACAATTTGTGAATTTATCTGTGATAAACAGATAGCAAAGTCTTAGCAATGGTGTTCCGTAGTAACGTGAGGGACCATAAAAAGTTTGATTATATTACAACCAATACATTCGTGACACTTCTAAATAAATTATTTACCGAGTTTATCTCATAATCTATACTAATTCTGTAAAGCTGAAGAGTTTGCTTTTGCACGCGCATATCTCAGGAACTAGTAGTCTGAGTTGAAGAAATAGTTTTGTGTTGGATAAACGATTTTTTTTTGGGGAAGGCTTTAGGCTTAATTGACAGGCTGCGACAAATAGGTGCCAAGAAACAGTAGGAATTGGAAAAAAAAAGGGAAAATCTTTGAAGACTTCTGTTGCGAGCGCTACATATATTGTAGGTTTAAAATACTATATAAAGTAATATGTATAAAGCCTTATTCTTCTTTTCGACTTACTCTTTCTTAGCGACATCTTTAAAGATGACTGACTGACTTTTTATGATAATGAACTTTTGGTTGAATTGGAAAATGGTAAAAGGTCAGGTGAGTTAGTAAATATATGGTTGAAATGATATATCTCAATACATGTACTATATCGGCCCACTAGGTCAGGAGGAAAGGGATTTCAAATATTATGATGTATGTTATAAATTTGTTCGTGACAGCAATTGCAAAATACCCATTAATTCAGGAATTTTCCCCGAAGTTTAATAACTTAGCAGTAGTTTCGCTTCAATACTGAACTTGGGCATAATTGTCTTACTTTTGGCAAGAGCAGGTGCTTTCACACTATAATTATAATTTAATAATATGTCATAATTATAATTATTTAAGGATGCCTACACCCCAAACCGGCGTTCTTGTCTATACTAATCTATAAAAAAAAAAAAAAAAAAAAAAAAAAAAAAAAAAAAAAAAAAAAAAAAAAAAAAAAAAAAAAAAAAAAAAAAAAAGGGGGGGAAAAAAAAAAAAAAAAAAAAAAAAAAAAAAAAAAAAAAAAAAAAAAAAAAAAAAAAAAAAAAAAAAAAAAAAAAAAAAAAAAAAAAAAAAAAAAAAAAAAAAAAAAAAAAAAAAAAAAAAAAAAAAAAAAAAAAAAAAAAAAAAAAAAAAAAAAAAAAAAAAAAAAAAAAAAAAAAAAAAAAAAAAAAAAAAAAAAAAAAAGGGGGGGGACCCCCCCCCCCCGGCCAAAAAAAAAAAAAAAAAAAAAAAAAAAGGGGGGGGGAAAAAAAAAAAAAAAAAAAAAAAAAAAAAAAAAAACCCCGGGGAAAAAAGGCCCAAAACCCCAAAAAAAAAAAAAAAAAAAAAAAAAAAAAAAAAAAAAAAAAAAAAAAAAAAAAAAAAAAAAAAATTTAAAAAAAAAAAAAACTTTCCCAAAAAATTTTTTATTTTTTAAAAATTTTTGGTACCCCTTGTTTTTCCGGGCCAAACTGAAAATCAATGGGTAGCCTTGCTGAGCGTGTTAGATTTTTTTATAAAGTGACCTAATATAAGATTAAAGACACTGGTTTATATGAGATTTTAAGGATAACATGTAAATAACAAGAAGATATACTGTCAAAAACTATTCTATTTCGTTAAACAAGATGTTACATTTCAGCAACGTATTCCCCATAATACCGGCAACACATTTATTGTATAAAAACGTCTAGGAATCTAACAAATAATGGTACCCCATTTATATATTGATTTGAAGATATTTATCTATATATTACACAAGGTTACGATACTTAATTGACATATATTGATGCCAATTCAATATAATAAAAAAGTACATAATATATCACAACCTATTTATTACAATATAATAATGTACATCATACCTGAACCATCCAATGTTCAACCAATGTTCGCATTATAGGTATTAATACAGATATACGATTTTAAACATATTCTGAAACCTCTAACGTTCCAACAACGTTCCAACAACGTTCCACCAGCGTTTACCGTGCGATCGCTCCAGAGCCACTGCTCCCCGCTTTACAGCGCACCCCCCTTTTATACAACTCACAAACAACCGACCAGGTGTTAGCCTGACGTCATCGAATAACACGAACATTACTTTTCAACATTTTGTAAACTACCCGCAGTTATACATCACAAAAACAATGATTTATACTACGTTTAATTATATATATATACAAAATAATTCAAATAATCTGTCACGGCCATACTGACATGTGATTTGTTCTCAAAGCACTTATTCTTACAAACAGAATTGTTGGTAATAATTATAACCAAGTTTATTTATATAAATATTCAAAATAATTCAAATAATCCGTTACGGCCAAACTGACACATTATTTGTTCTCAGAACACTTGTACTTACAAATAGGATTGTTGGTGATAATTATAACCAAGTTTAATTATATAAGTATTCTAAATAATTCAAATAATCCGTTACGGCCAAACTGACACATAATTTGTTCTCAGAACACTTTTGTACTTACAAATAGGATTGTTGGTGATAATTTGAATCGAACATCAAAAATATAATGTTTTTTAATACTTGAAATATGTAATCTATTAGAATCGAATATTTATTATTTAATCTTTCTTTTTTTTTTTTTTTTTTATACCTCTCGATTGCATAGACGTGTCGAAACCCTCATCCGCTGCTTATGAGTCTAGTTTGCTTGCACCAAACAATCGAGCGACCAGCGGAGGTATTCCTATACCGATTACCTAGAGGCACTAGCCCCCTCACCCGCTGCCGGTGGTCTGGACTAGTACCAAGTAATCGGTCGACCAGCGGCTTCTATTCTTTATACTGTCTACCTAGACGCACTAGCCCCCTCACCCGCTGCCAGTGGTCTGGACTAGTACCAAGCAAACAGTCGACCAGCGGCTTTAATTATTTATACTGTCTACCTAGACGCACTAGCCCCCTCACCCGCTGCCAGTGGTCTGGACTAGTACCAAGCAAACAGTCGACCAGCGGCTTCTATTCTTTATACTGTCTACCTAGACGCACTAGCCCACTCACCCGCTGCAAGTGGTATGGACTAGTACCAAGCAAACAGTCGAC